TCCGTAGCTTTGTTGGGTTCATAACACTGATTAGTTTTAATGGAAAAAAGAAACATTGCATTAAAGAAACACCGTCTGTCCAGCAGCTGTTGGACGTTTCACTTCACTGCAGAAACTACAGCCTCTTAAAAACACGTATGAACCTCGAGTTAGTGGTTCAGGTTATTGAAGCCCCGGAGAAAGTCACTGACCTGATTTTGGGATCTAACACAGAGATGGTCTGGGCCATATAAAAACATTCAATCCTGTGAGCATGCGAGTAGTTTTGTCACATTACCTCTGACAGTGAGTCGGCCTGAGGTCTGAATGCCATTAGCTTGGAAGGAGAACAAACCGGCATCTCCCAACGCCACCCTGCTCAGTAAGAGGGCGTGTTTCTTCCCGTGTGTGCTGATGCGACAGTTGGGTTTAGATTTGAGCCGCGTCCCATCCCTCATCCACACGCCCTCTATGTAGGCTAGGTTAAGAGATACCTCAAAGGAGCAGCTCTCGCACTCTGAGACCTCTGCGTCGTCCAATCCCTTCACCACCTGCAGACGGTTCTCTGGCAAACAAACACACACAGGCAGCGTTAGAGGCCTAAAGGCCTTTGACTCATGGTGTTAAAAAAGTACAAATGCATTTAGAAATAAACATACTTGCAGCTGCTACTATTCCTCCAGGCTTATTGTCTCCCATGTCTCTTGTTCTTGACTGGAGAAGTTTGTTTTCTCAGTCAGCAGGCTGCAAACACAAACGTACCTGAGGTCATGAGTCATGATATGTTGTCCAACCGTGTTACAAAAAGAGAAATCAGCTTTTCCACGAACTCATTCAGCTCACAGTTCAGGGGTTCACATTACTGATTTCTGCATAAGTGCTTAAATCTTTTGGACATCATTGCAAAAACAGATTAATTCCTTTCAGGCTAACCATCAAACCACAACGTCCAAAATGGTAACGCCATCAAACTGGATCTACGCGGCATCAGTGTCTCATATTGTTGATCCCTATGATGGCGTGCCAGTCAGTAATGAAGAGCAGAGTAATCTCTGTCACCGCACTTGGCTGAGTTCATCACCACCAATATAGACTCAGCTGTGATCAAACCTCCATAAGGCAACATGAGCCGAACTCAGAGGAAGGGAAAGCTCTGAAAAGCCAACAAGCGATCGACCGATGACCGATTGATATTTGACATCATCAAACACGCCAGCTCCTCCCAGCAGCACTGCAAGCATAGGCCAGTCTGCGCCATTACATTACCTACCAGCTAAAATGGTATTTTATGATGCGTCACACACGGCGCTGTCTTTGCAACCAGTTATCTAGATTACCTGATATTTTATCATAAGCCTTAAAATCGATTCTGCAAAATAAACACCAGAGAAATAAAAATAGCAGCAAACCAGCTCAATACAACTCTGCAATATAATTCAACTATATAATATTCCTCTATTCAACAGGATTACTTGTTGGCTATATTCAACTGCAAAAATAAAAAGTATCATTTCTATACACATTTCCAAATGAAAGAAGAATACATGAGCTTACCTGCACCAATGCACCAGCTCAAACTAAGCAGGTGATCTGTAGGACGAACACATGCCTGCATACACTGTTTCTGCACCAGTTTCACAAAAGCAAAACTACTTTCTCCAAAACAAACACGAGCTGGATGAAACCTCCAGCGTGGCCACTGATCCTGGGACTGCTGTTTCTCACAGAGCTTTAAGGTTAACAAGATGTATTCAATCCACCAAAGAGCGTGTCCATGCCTCCTTGTGCATCCCAGTTCCCAAAGTTGACAGGCTATAGTGCTTTCTCTTTTTTCCCTGCTGTTATGGAGCATAGTGCTGAACAGCTGACATATCTCTCCCCACACACTAACCTCCAAAATAGCCTTCTGTCAGTATGAGGGCAAAGATAGCTTTGGCTTTAATGGTGCAGGGCACCTTATGCTCGACATCACTGGAACATGAAAAACAATCAGAATGTAAACAGTGTCCCAGTGTCTCTGATGGTTTTCCACCGTGCATCAATGAGGGTTGACCAGCTTAGAA